TTCGAATGGCTGTACGCGGTGGATCGTAGATGTCCCACCGGCGGCTGTTTCCTGACAGCAGGACAGAACGTTGGCTGGGGGTGGGCTCACAAACGTCAGGCCTACTACGTGAACGATCCTCAAAGGCAACTTGACGGCACGTACGGGACAGTTAACAATATGAGGCATAGGTTGCGCGAACAAAATAAGTGAATAACTTGTTATTTATACCAGCGTGGAAATAGTATTGGGAATAGGAATATTGAGAATAGTATTTGGGGTTCTCGCAGCCTACGTATAAGTGGCCCAAACGAATTGAAATTTATAAATGACGAATGTAAGACTACCCTCTAAATTGTTCTTCTAACTTTAACCAGTGCCGTTACTTATGATTGGACTGAGAGTGGTGTTAGGATTTTTTTATTGAATGCAAAAATTGGTTGCTGGCTGTTGCGATTGAAATATTGTATGTACATGTAAATATTGTATTAAGCAGTGCACACTGATTTGATTTAGCCATTGACATTGAGCTGACTTCATTTTTATATTAAAATACTGAGTACAAGGCGGACCAAAATGTGAATAAAATAAGCTCTCGTCCTTCCTATAAAGAAAAATAACTTTCTTCTAGGGGTCGTTTGATCCACTGGGTCATTCTGACACATATATCGAATCATAAAAAACCTAAAAATGGTCCACATCCGGCAATCTTTGCATCATCGGAAGGCTCACATAATGATGTAAGTTTTATATCCATGTTTGATGTAGTTTAGAAGATATTGTTAAAAGTATTTTAAAATTTTACTGTACCTCTTTCGATTTCACGGCAGTTCTGCCATGTCCTACCCTCGCTAGCAAACTTCCTGTAATAGATTGTTCCATATATCCAATCATAAAAAACCTAAATATGGTCCAATGCAGCAATCTTTGCATCATCAGCAAGTCTCACATCTTCCTCTATCCAATGATGTAAGTTTCATATCCATATTTGCTGTAGTTTAAAAGATATTTCGAAAGATGTACTGCCTGTGTTGGCATTTTTTGCAGGTCTGCCATGTAAACAATTGCCTTCAAGCTTTGTTTGTGGCTCCCTATATCCAATCATAGAAACCTGAAAATTGTCCATCGGAAAGCTCACATCTTGCTCTATCCAATGATGTAAGTTTCATTCCCATATTTGCTGTAGGTAGAAAGATATTGTTGAAGAAGTTGAAACTTTTTACCGTACCTCTTTCAATTTCGCTGCAGGACTTCCGTGTCCACAAATTGCCTTCTCGAGCTTCCTGTTTTGGTGGCTCTATATATCCCATCACAAAAGACCTGGAAGTAATCAAAACCCATCCATCGTTACATCATTGCAAAGTTCACATGTTTCTCTATCCCATGTTGTACGTTTCATATCCATATTTGCTGTTTTTGAGAAGATTGTTGAAAGAAGTGGAACGTTTTAACCCTACTACTTCCGAATTCGATGCAGTTCTGCCAAATCCTATCCTTGCTAGCAAACTTCGAGTGCTAGATTGTTCCATGTATCCAGTCATAAAAAAATGAAAGTTGGTCCAAATACGGCAATCTTCGCATCATTGGAAAGTTCACATGTTCCTCAATCCAATGGTGTACTTTTCATATCCATATATGCCGTTTGTTGAATGTTTTAACCGTAGTACTTCCAAATTCGATGCACTTCTGGCAAATCCTATCCTTTGTAGCAAACTTCCCGTGCAAGATTGTTCCATATATCCAACCACAAAAAGGATGACAATGGTCCAATCCCCTCAATCTTTGCATCATTGGAAGGTTCACATGCCAATCTATCCAATGATGTAAGTTTATTACCAATATTTGCTGGGTTTGGGGGGATATTGTTGAAATAAGTTGAAGGCTCTAACCCTACTACTTCAAAACCCTGGCAGTTCTCCAAATCTTAACCTTGCTAGCAAACTTCCCGTGCTAGATTGTTCCAAATATCAAATCATAAGAAACCTGAAACTGTGCAAATGCAGCAATCTTTGCATCATCGGGAAATTCCTATGTTCCTCTATCCAATGATGTAAGTTTCATATCCATATTTGCTGTTGTTAGAAGTTTGAAGTTTTTACCCTACGTCTTCCAATTTCGCCGCAGTACTTCCGTGTCCACACCTTAGCTACATACTTCTTCTGCTTGGATCCTCCATATATCCTGTCATAAAAGACCTGAAAATGGTCCAAATCCGCCAATCCTAACATCATCGGAAAGTTGACATTTTCCTCTATCCAGCGGTGTAAGTTTATATACACATTTGGTTTACTTAGAGAGATATTCCTAAAAGAAGTTTGAAGTTTTTACCCTACTTCTTCCAAATTTCGCAAGTACGGACGTGTCCACACCTTGCCTTTAAACATCCAGTGCATGGTTGCTCCATATATCCCGTCATAAAAGATCTGAAAATGGTCCAATTCCGGCAATCTTTGCATCTTTACAGTTCACATGATTCTCTATCCAAAGATGTGATCTTCATATTCATATTTGCTGTAGTTAAAGAGATTTTCTCGAAAGAAGTTCAACTTTTTAAACTACTGCGTCTGATTTCGTTGCAGTACTGCCATATCCACACCTTGCTGGCAAACCTCCCCTGCTTGGTTGCTCCATTATATCCAATAATAAAAATACTGGAATCTTCAAAATCAGGTATTCTTTGCATCATCGGAAAGTTCACATATTCCTATCCTCTATCCAATGTTTTAAGTTTCATATCCATATTTGCTGTAGTTAAAGGTATGTTCTCGAAAGAAGTTTGAGCTTTTTATCCAAATGGCATACGTTTTCATATCCACTAATCCTATTTTAATTTCCTTACCTCAAAAGAGAATTTCAAAGAGATATATCCGCGAATGATTGTCAAATAATTCAAAGAGGTTGAGAAAACATCTCAGAATGAAGGTGAGAGTTTGCTTCAGCCAAGCTCGCTGTTTTTACGTTTCCATTTTGTATTCTCAGTTTAGTTGGTTCCAGTCTTTTTTACGCAGATGTGTCATGTATCCGACTTTTAAAAGCCTTAAATAAGTCCAGACTGGTCCATTTTCTGTCTTTCGAAAGAGCATAGTTCTATGTTTCCGTATCCAGTGGTGTTTCCATATTTAGAGATTTAGAGAAAAATCAGTAAAGTTTAGGGAGTGCACATTTCCACCAAACTGTTGGATTTCTGCGCGAGCTCATTAATATTATGTGATCCCTACAGGGTTTTTACAACAAGACCACCTTAATCAGGAGAGATCATAAAGATATTTCTATAAATCTCGAATTTGGGAATGGTAGAGTTTCCATTTTGGGGTATTTCTTTCACAAAAAGCCCAAACCTGCTGGCCTATTTTGGATAAAGGCGGGTGGCTACATTCAGAGCTGAGCGTACAGTTTTACTACTATCTTGGGGGTATCTTCGGGGAAAGGCGAATAAAAAAACATTGCATGTCTACAACTATAAATTGAAACGAAAGTGAAATTCTTGTCTTGAATTTCCAGTGACAAAATGGAGGCCAACCTCTTCCCAAGAGTCAACAGGCGGCGCTACATTTTTGTCTGATTTTACACTGTTTTCTTTGGCCACGTGAGCACAACAAATCAGTGGAGTGCAACCATGCAACACGCTCCTCCGAACTTTAAAATAGCGCCCTCGATATTCTCCGTGGCACCCGGGCAACTTCTAATGCGCTAATGTGGGCCGGAATGTGTCAAGTATATCGATTGAAACCAGTGAAGGGAGGAAAAATAACAAGATTCGATTTCGGAGCACATTTGGCACGCCGCGCCGCGCGGAATTTGTGCCAGTGCAGGATTTGCACGTTTGCACACGCTGCGTATCCATCAGTCGTAACTTTGAGTGTTACGTTTAAAAAAAGACTAAGTGAATATGCTAGTAAGTAGATTATTTACAGTAAAGCTGAAGTAGTTCAGTGTATTTTAATTTCCAGGAGTTCTAAATAAAAAATTACTGATGTGTACATAGGCACTTCGACATAAACCAGCCTCAGGCTCCGGGCATACCATTTTAAGTTGGAACTCAGGCAAGCCTACACTGTACTCGTACACATAGCATATACACTGTAGTTGGCGTAGTGCAGATGAGTGGCTCGTTTACCCGGGTTTTAGTCCGGCTCAGAGATTGTTAACTTCCTTCTGCTAAGAAATACGACGCACTTCTGAGCTCAGCTGATATAAGATGCCATGCTTGCTTCCTTCTCTGGGAATGCTATCAATGAATGATGGCCTCAAGAACTGTAGCTAAAAAGAAAGGTTTATTCCAAGGCATGCGAAAGCGATCAGCAAGTTTCGCACACCCAGGACGGACAGATGCTGAGGAATGCTCCCCAGATTTCCAAGCATACATCAAGGCAGTAGTGCAGGCCGAAGCTACACACGATCCAGGGACACCTCCCCACAGTGAGAACAATGTGGAACAACAGCCACAAAGTCGCCTTCGGTCGTACTCCGATTCCGCAGCAACTCTGTCAAGCTACAAAGCAACTCCCGTCTTGAAGACCATTCCAGAAACTACTTCTTCCTCTAAGTCTAACGTCAGGACCCGCCGTGCCTCTGTGGCACAGAGTCAAAATCTCCTGGCCAGCGATTTCACATTTTTCGAAGATGAGGAGGACGGAAGGGACATCTGGAGCTCTGTGGAGAGCTTTGACTCAGGAGATGTGGAGATCTACAGTAACTCACCCCCAGTTGGGAGGAGACAGCTCTGTAGCAAGAATGTGCAGTTTGGAGCTGTTCAGACCAGATGGGACCCAGGTTTGAATCCAGGAATTCAGGTCTTCACATGGCTTCCAAATGGAAATCGTGTAACTGTAAGTAGCCTATACCTTCAACAACAATAAACTTAAAAACTGATACTTTGGGCCCAAAAAGTGTTGCTCCCTGTTTCCTGTGCTAACCTACATGTATTTTGATGGCACAACTGTCAATTTTTTTTTAGGGGGAGAATATTTTTGGAAAATGTGAAATTTTGTGAATGTTCCTACAAAAAAGCACTGACCAGCAAATGAGAGCCACACAAAACCTCTTAATTTTAGTTTGAATGTGGTGCTAAAAGGTTTGTTGGACTTACTTAAGTACTCTTCTATGCTATTTTTTACCTATTAGGTGAAATTTTATAAGAGTTTTTTTTAAATACCAAAAGCCACCCCCCCCAATTTGTTGTTTTCTACATGTATGCACATGTATACCTGGTACTGTGCACCTACCCAGTTTTTCAGATTTACATGATGTACGGTACAATCAGAAGCAAAACTACTGGGAGGGGGGCTTATTACACAATCTTCGACATACAGAGTAGCTTCCCTTAAAAATCAGTTCTATCTTTGCCATTATTAGCACTGAGAAAATTTAAAACCATTTTATAGAAAAAAAAACATGGTGTTCGGATGGATCACAAAGCTGCACTTTACATGGAGGTTTGCATACTCTAAAAAGAAGTTACAAGAATTTACACATGTAGTGTAGTTGTTTCACATTTACTATATCTGCAGCATGTCCTTTAAAATGTTGATAAATGAATACCAGAAATTAAGGGTTTTATCCCAGTGCAATGTGCTTCTTAAACAGGAAGCAGACTCATATATTTGTTCAACTACAATAGTTTTAATCCTACCGCACTTAAGAATTAAGAGAAAAGAGTTGAATACCATATACATGTACATACATGCATATATACACATAGCTTCCAGCCCATTCTTTCTTTCCATCAACAAGTTGTAGGCATCTCCCCAAGTAGCCTACATCTTAAAAATTCAGTCACCATGGCTAAAATTGGCTTCTCTATCAGTGCCAAACTAATGAGAAGATTATGAACGTTCTTTTTGCTCCACATTGATCCCCCAGTTTCACTTTGAGGTGAAGGTTAGGTAACCATTTGTTCTCTGCAGTTCCAGTTGCCTATCAAATACAAAGCCGTTTTTCTTTTTCACTCCTTCATTGATTTTCCTTTTTTTTCTCTGACCCATCACTCTGTACCTTGGGAATTAGACTTGAAATGGATAAGCTACAAACACCCTAGGATCTTGCTCCATTTCATTAATAGTTAATGAGAAAGGAGCAAGATCCACTTTAATATCCTGCACAGAGCCGTGGCTTGTGTTTACTGCTGCACTGGTTACTTTGAAGACCGTTGCTTCATGTACGGTGTTTTTGTACGTGTGCAACTTTGGAAGAAAATTAAATTCAAGGAAAAAATTCAATTACAATGTAGTACACTGAAAGTTTGAACAAAGTACATCGGAGGACATCCAGTCAAGGATTAGAGTTCTTTCAAATACCACTCCCTGAGAATACAGTGCCTTTTAGTTTTACTGAACACTTTGCGTTTATCTAGAAAACATTGTTTTTAAATTGACAAAACATCTTCCCTTACATGTAGTCAGCAGAACATTTAGAAAAGAAACACTGGAAAGTAAACTCAAAAGTAACCTCGCATTCCATTGGCAGTGTCAACAATCCAAACAATACCAAAAAATATATTATCAAAAGGCCACCTTGAATCAGAGTCCTTTCTTGGTAAACACCAAATGAGGGTCCAGACAGTCTGTCAGGAGACTCTGAAATAAAACCCTTGGCCAGCTTGACTGATAAGCTGGTGATAACCCAATTAAGGTTAACCATTATGTACACAGGGGCTGAGTTGAAGTTGTTGAGTTATAACATGGAACAAATAGTTTTGACTTGTTCCTACTTCAGAGGTTTAATATAGGACTTGTACTGTATACCGGTATGTAGTATGGTACATGTACAAAGATCAGAACCTGAAAAGAACTTGTGCAGGACTTGTGAGTTCTGCTCTAATTTTTCATTGTACATACCCGCACATTGCTGCTTGATAATAGGTTTGGATTTTGCAAATTGGGGCTAAATGGGTCTAACAAATTTAAGAGCATCAATCATAACTTTTGCTGCAGCAACGTTTGCACATGGAGGTACGCACATGTACATGTAGAAAGGACTCAATGCTGTTTTGTACAGGAATTAATAGAGATTTGTAAATTTCTCCTAGATTCTGTATTCTGAAAAAGTACATACGTGTACAGTATATGTGCAAATTATGAGTGTACGTATGCATTGCTTATTCGCATTTTCTGAATCTTTTCTTACTGGCATCTACACCTACACATGTACACCTCACTCAAAGTACATGTACAAAAAACTGCATGCTCAATTCTTTACCAGTATGTCATCTGAACAAAATTTTCAGCTGAGCTACTCATTGTGATTGTACATGTAGCTGCACCATACCTCATAAGCAAAGCCCCATGAAAAACCAATCTCTTATCAAAACTGCCATTCCCTTTGGCAAAAGCCCAGTGTAACAAAGAGGTGAGGGGTACCGATTCAACCTTTACTCTCAAGAAAAATGAGGGATTTGTAGGACACATATGGTACGGTACATGTAGTTCCATCCCCCCCCTTCCAAGTTCACCGACAAACTTTATAGTTTCCATCCTGGTATCATATATGTATGTGTGTACTTACTGTACCTACACAGGTTGGATTTAATAGCCCTGTGAGCCTGAGGCAAGTTCTTAAGGCAAATGTGATACCTGTACAATCATGCCATTGTGTGTGTACAGTGTATTTTTGCAACCATCTCGCAGAACCCTTCCGCTGCATCATGCACCGTACTCCTTCGTTTTCACCTTTCTTTTTTTTTTTTTACTTTTTTGGCATTTACATTGGTAACAACATTTGTAAGATAATCTAGGGAAGCTGGATGAGGTACAAGTGTTTTCTTTTCCTTGCTCTGTGGACTACATGTACACGTTCATGTACATGTACATGTACGTGCAATGTACATGTACAGTACATGTACATGTTCATGTACATGTACATGTACGTGTACGTGCAATGTACATGTACAGTACATGTAAGTACATGTACAGTACATGTAAGTACATGTAAGTACATGTAAGAGTGCAACTAAAGGCCTACAGGTTCTTACCGTGTCTGCTAAATCCAAAGAACATTTTTAATCATGCACTCAAAGTGAATATAAGGCATTTGAAAAAGTATTATTGTCCTTTGTTGCCAGATAGTTCTCACAGAAACAGAAGGAACAAAGTTCTAGAATGACGCATGTGTTGTGATTTCTGTTCAGATGATGAGGAGTCATGCCAGATGACATCTTTGTATGTGTACAGGCCGGGTAGTACATTGTACAATGTGTTTAATTTCTTACAGTGTATGATTCAACATGTCCTATATTATCTGGAGGCTGTTGTTAAGCCTTTTTTTGTCCATTATGTGTGCACTACAACAAATCCAAAAGTTTATTATTTTTGCTTTTTTTAGTTTGAATAGATTCCTTAGTTGACATGATCTGCTGAATAGATATTGTCCCTGTTGGGCAGTCATAGTTGACATCAACTTTGACACGCCAGTGTTTAGATTACCTTGTCGAAGGAGCCCCTGAAAGTGATCCCAAATAAAACGAAACTGAGTCATCAGAAGTGATTTTTCATATTTGGGGCAACAGACAAGCTGGAAACTCCCAAGATTTTACCTTCAGGAATGATTGCGCAGTTGTAACCAAAACGCTCCAACACTCAGAAAGTTTGTGTCTGTACCAAGAAATAAAGTTGCTGGGGACTGAGAATTCTGAGTTCATTTTCTTGAGTTGTTGACTTCAAGGGTTCATCAACCATCAGAGAAATTGGGACACTCTTTAAATCAGTCCTGCGAGGGCCATTTTGTCAGTGAGAGGTGGTTTCACTGTTTCCAACCACCACATCTGGGAGTGCACTCCAAGGATTTTACGGGCCAAGAATAGAACAAATTTCTTGAATTGTGTGGATGTCTCCAGTGGATATGGTCACCCAACCTGCTATGGTCCTGAGTTGTCTTTATAAAATTTGGAGCAGGGTCATCTGAGCTCATAGTCATAGGAGCAACCAGCAGCTGTGCCATCAGCACTCTAATTCAGACTTTTCAGAGCTCTTTTTAGTACCTGCGGCGTATACGTTGATACCTCTCTACATGTACATGCAATTATCTCCGGATACCAGTTACTTTTAAGGCTGTTTTCTATCATGGCTGCCCATTAAAGGTAAGGAATTAAATGTAGTATTGTATTTTCTTTCCTCCATCCCCAAGTTTTCACTAGTGTGTACCTGTAACTTAGCCGTGGCTTGTCCAGGTTTCATCAATGAGGATTTAGAAAACCATTTTCTGTATTGTCAGACATACATGTACCGGTACATGTAGTAAAGTGAATTTCCACCAATAGTAGCATGTGCTTCATGGTGATGTCCATGTACCGGTAGCTGTTTCAAATTACATTTAATGCAGATGACTCAAAGTACATGTACATGTAAGTTTATGTTCCAGCTTCACTGCTCCTTTGTACAGTTAATTTTCTGCATTAGCCAAATTTCCAGTTGGGGGACTGGGATGGTAATTTTCTTTAGGCGAAACAAAAAATTAGAACTGTGTTTCCTATTACACTGACAAATAATTTAGGGAGGTTGGTTGGCTAAAATACTTTTTTTACTGTAAATGTTCATAGCCCCAAAAATTAGGGTCGGATGATGGTCTGCATTTTTTGTTTGGGAGAGGGCACATGTATTTGTACCACATGTAACTCAGCTTCGGATTAATTCTGTACATGTGCACATCAATATTACATATCAGCACCATGCTTGAGTAGTAAAATTCAGACACGCAAGAGCCGTCCATCTCATGCAATCAAAATTAAAACAATGCAATGTACCTGGACAATTAGGCTCAGGGTAAGGCACCATAAGTTTTATATTTTATTGATTTGTCAAGTAAAAAGATGTACATGTAGGTTTCACATGTTTTT